CCCTTTTCACAAGCGACTGCAGGAACACCAACGCCCTTCTCACATCCTGCGTCCGGCAGATGAGGTTGCGTCCCTGCCATCGCACTCCGACGACGCCGTCCTTGACAGAAGTCACATCACAGACCGTGGCAGGCAGCTTCAAGACCAAGAACTTCACCAGAGGGTCTAGTTCGATGCCTTCCAGCACGGCTAGCTCGCTCCTGAGCTGTTGCCTGTATCATCGACTCTATTGCCGCTTGCCGAAGACGATAGGCGTCACGATCATCCGCGAGTTCCACCTGGTCGCCCAAGACATTGAGGATCGGTGGAGTGCGTCCAAGCACTGCCTCGAAGGGTGTGTGGTTGCCGACCGTAGTGAGGATGTTCTTCACGAAGACCGCCTCCGAAAGCACCTCTTCGAAACCAACACGTAGACCGTCGTCAGTCGCTGCTTCGAGCTTATGAAGTTGCTGTCTGAGTACTTCCTGATGTCGCTCCAGCCACGCTGCTACTGCTTCGGTTACAAGGCCTCCCTCCTGATCACACACAATCAAAGCTGGTGGTACAGTCCAAACCACTTCATCGGAGTCCCTTGCCCGCATGAGTGACGCCAAGGTCCATCTCGTGCACACATCCAGCATGTGCAAGATGATGTACTGCTTGTAGAAGAGCAAGTCAATCTGCACCTCCTCGTTGAATCGAGTTCTCAATGACGTGGTTGTCATCGATCTTGGTCCGGGCCGACTCCAGGCCCTGCAGATACGACAAGTGTCGGTGATGTCCTGCACGGTTGACCACTTCTTTGGCCACTCCAGCCGCCTGAAGAAGTGCCTTCATCCTAGTGGCACCGGGGTGGTACCATCTGATGTGTAGGTGCCGAAGTTCTCTACAAACAACACCGATTCGGGGAGATCTGAGCAACTGCAGAGACGCACCCAAATCAAAGCGATTCCATTCAGCACCGCCTCCGTCATCTCCGCCGTCATCATCTCCGTCATCTCCAGGTTCAGGATCTGGATCACCTCCAGGATCACCACCGCCCGCTACTCGACGTTCAGGTTCTGCTTGAGTAGAGGCGTCTTGCCGATGCCTTCGAGGTCCAGCAGGTTCATCGCCGTGTTGCCGAGGTCGTGGAGTTGCCGTCGGCTTCGGCTGTCTGCTGCTCCCCTAGGTTCCAGTGTTCGTGGTCATCCGAATCATCATCAGGAAGTCGTGCCGTTGTGGAGTAGGCTTCGGCTTCGGTGAAGAGCTATCTTTGCCAATGCGTAGTCCAGCCGCGCTTGGCTTGAGGTTGCTTTGTTGTCTTGACTGGTTCAGTTCCCACACGCATGCTGCTGGTAGGCTCGGAAGATGCAGCCACCCTTGGATCACGTGGGTGATGTCCAGTGCGTGTCCTTCCCAATCCAGTCGGCATAGTTCGAGCTAATGCCCATTCGCAGTCTGGCTCCAAACTGTGTGACGGGTCCGTGCGGGGCTTGTTTCGCACACACGCTTTGCACTTCCAGACCGCCGCATCATCACGTGGAAATTTGCAGTCGCCAGACCGAGTGTGTTTCGGGCCATCTCGTCGAAGATGTCCGCGGCATCCCGGGCAACTGACATAGTGCTGCATGACATATGAAAGATCGCGACCCCTGCAGCACAGAAGTTCAAAGATGCCCGCCGCAAGAACAATGCACAGTTTCCACGGCCATATCTGCGCCTTGGTACTCGGCATGGAAAGGCGAGGAGTTGCAGACCAAACGCCAATGTTGGCATGTTCGTGCTGACCATCACACTGCCTGCCCAACAGTGGTTGCAAAACCACCTCCGATGAAGAGAGAAACTCCGTTGGTTTCTTCACCGCATAAGGGGGCAAATGCATCTTGAGGCCCAACATGCATTGGTCCACGACGATGCCGTAGACTTGGATCTGCTGGAACACATTCTCCCACTCCTTCATGTCGAAGAGCTCGCTCTGCCAAGGCTGCTCGATGAGGAAGTCCAGCCCGCGCCGAACTTGCCATAGAGCAACAGCAGCACATAGCCTGGCGAGCTTCTCGCCAATGCGCCGACTCCTCTTCCACGTGTCGTGATTGATCATCCGATTCAAACGACTCCAAGGTCCGAATCCACCACAAGGAGGAGCCATGACCACAATCTGGGGCTTGTGCTGCCTGAGTCCCAGAAAGCTCTTTCATGCTCCGGGCTGAGCAAATCCCCGTGGGCCACCAGGTCGAAGTTGAGTCCGGGACGTACACCAAAACGTCTGACCAAAACGCAAGTGGTTCGGCCTTCGCCACCGAAGATCTCAACCACATGAATGCCTGGGGGCAACGTGGTCGTGGCATGTCGCTGGTAGAAAATGAGGTCTTGGTTGTCATCGATGAGGTTGCTCTTTGCGTAGAGAAGCTGCTGTAGTTGTGGTAGTTCGCATTCTGCTTCTGGAAGGTGAGTCACGTCACTGCCGTACAGCGAGTTGCCATCTCCAATCAAGAACCGTGAAAGGCCATGTTCCACGTTGAAGGGCAAGTTGCTGTCGTTAGTCGTCTCGTTGAGGCCTGCCAGGGCCATGAAGTGAACGGACTTGCTGGGGGCGTCGATGCCCATGATGCCGGAAAGATCATCACCGCAGTCATCATGATGAACCTCCGACTTGATGACCTTCTTGTTTGGCACGTAGCCATCCTTCTTCCGCTGCTTCTGTCGCTCCGCACTATCAGTGGGATAGCTGGCAACGTTCTCGTCAAAGCGCACCGTTGGGCCAACCGTCTTCTGGCTCTGATGTAGAGCCTGTATCCTCACCTTCTTGAACTCGTCTTCCGACTTATGTTCTGACTCAGGTTGATCGTTACGACCATGACGAGCCTGCTCTGTTGAAGATGCTGGAAGGTGTTCTTTGGCCACCAAACATTTCACACACGCGTCGACGATGCCGAAGATCATCATCCGCTCCACTGCCTCGTGCTCCAGCTTCAAATGACAGTGGTCTTCCTTTCTCCCACACCTGCATGGCTCAGCGTCTGGCACCGGGAAATTGGTGCACATCTGAATCACCGCATCGCAAGGTCTGCTTCCGCCCGGCGAGTTCAGCTGGTAGTTGCAGTACCTGTGCTTGGTGATCTGCATGAGCTGAATCACCGCCGCCATCGCACGCATGTTCCAAGCCTGTCTTCGGACGTTTGCCTCCAAGGCGCAAAACCGTCGTGATGCGATCTGTTCTCCCATCAGTCTTGCCAAGATTTCGGTCCGGGTGTTGTCATGCCGACTTCCACTGCCGATGCATGGACCTGCCAGGCGGAATCAAAGAAGCTGTGGTTGTTGTGATTGAAGAGATGCCAGCATAGAGCGACCATGCCCTCGGGAATGTAGATCATGTTCAAAATGCATGGTCCTGGCGCCTAGCCGTTGTAGGGCTTCTTGTCACAGTCCAAGCTGATTGCAAACAATCCAGACCAGAAACTCAGCCCCTCTGCCAACATAGGTGTTGTTGCTGACAGGCTTCACACTCTGATCCCCTGCTCTGAATTCTGCATGCACGATTGGCGCTTGGCCGTGGCACTCTGTCATTCTCGGTTTGTTGCCGGGCTGCTCACACTCCCGAAGCATCCACCGGAAATGTCCTCTCCGAAAGATCATCAGCCGAAGTGACCTTCCAGAAAGCCTCGCTGGAGTTGAGCTCCTCTCTGGGGTTGCCGGCCTTTGCGAGGAGGATGCGCTCTGCCGCGTTGGAGAGTCCGCCGTGTTCCGACACTCCATCACAAAGTCCAGGTCGTTCCTGCCCACTTGCTGCCCAGGTCGAGGATCATCATTCCACAGGTCGACCGGCAGGATCAGGTGTCCACTCTGCGAGGGTGACAGCTCGAAGTAGCATCCAGGCTGCTCCAGTGGCATTGATGCCCAAGCCACCTTGATTGCCGGCTCGATGTCGCAACACATCATAGCGCACCAGAAAGGCATCGATGCCTTCGCCCTGCATCCGATGAAGATGCAGAAATTCCGCCACCGCCTTGGTCGAGCTTTCCATTTCAGGGGCCCATACCTCTGAGCCAGTGTCTGCAACAAGATCATCAGGCCCGGGGTGTGATTTCCGACCTGATCCACAACTCCATCACGAAGTTGTCCTGGCGGGATTTCTCTGACCAGCTCCTTCACGGATCCAGTCACCTGAAGTGCTGCGATGGGTCCTTGGCTCCGCAGCGAGGACCAGCTGATCCATGATCTAAGGCTATACGCCAAGCTTCTCTCCACACTCCAAGCCGGTGGCACCTTCAGCGTGGCAGTTCCCATGAACGGAGGACACCACGGCGCTGTGGCGACCTTCAAACCGTGGAGGGCCATGCATCCGCTGGTGCATACAGCACACGATGCTGCACATGCTCAGGAGCAGCACCAGGATGCCCATCAAGAAAGCCAAATGCCCCAAGATGCCGTCCTCATGGACATTGTGTCCACCGCGTTGCTGACTGCCCGCAAACATGCCGACCAAGCCCTCAAGAACCTGAAGCATATTGTTGCAAAACTGCCGAAGGTCCTTAGTGTTCCGCTGGCCAAGCTTCTCTAAGTTCTGAAGCATGCCATAGAGACCTTCGTGGGCGCTCTCATCCTTCATCTCCTCTGCGTAGGGCTGTGACAGAGCCTCGACCTTGCGCGTGATCGCACCATGCAGGATCTCCAGAGGATCCTTGGTGTCCTGGCCCGTTCCGTCGAGACCGCTCTCAGCGTGCTCGATGTTCTGCGGGCCACCGTGAAACATCTTCTCGGGTGAGCTTGAAGCCGCCAGCCATGGCCTCATGGTGACACCAAAGGCGAAGTACAGCCAGTAGGTTCCTGGGCGTCGTGAGCACATGGCTCCGCTACAAATCGGAAACGGGGTGTGAAACATTTTCCCTGAAAAGGACAGTCGGGTCTCGAGCCTCGTGGCAAGTGGTGTGACACATGTACCTATTGACTCCATATACATATATATATATATATATGCACATGTGTATTATCCGTATTCATAGAAAGTAATGCAAAGTATCAACAGCCAGGGCTCCAGCTCGACGCGGCAGAGCGCCGCACAGACCACTGGCACCACACGGTCCTGCGCCGTTCCCCTCCCCCCTTCCCCCAAAAAATGGCAAATAGGGGGGTCCCGGGGGGTGGCCTGCTGATGGTTGCCTGTTCTGGTTTTTATGTTAATCTCAAATCTGTGTTCCCCGTTAGATTCGTTTTTAAAAGGGGTGTTTTGGGGAGCTTATTTATCGTTTTCGTTAAGGTAATCATTTGGGTAAATTCTCGCCTTGTTCATTGTTGGGCTGGGGGCCGACATTTTTTCCATTTGAAAGAGGTAGCCCTTCTGGTAGTTATCAAGTTCTGGGGTGTTGGTGATGTATTTGCTTTGATATATTTTTGTCATTGAAATTTTGTTATAGGTTAAAATTACAGTATAATGAAAGGTTATAAAAAGGTTATACTGTTTAATCATATTATAATTAAATATTATGATTATACCATGAAATCATTGTTTCTGTTTTCTATACATTTCAATTGTAATATGTTCTATAGTAATGATTTCGTGTCGTTTCATAGTCTGTTTTATTTCCAACTGTATATTTCTTGATGCTCTAAAATGTTAAACACAATCAGTCCCTATGTTTCATTTCGTGAGCCCAAAATGTCCATTTCAGAAACCCGAAATAACCATTTCAGAAACCCGAAAAAACCATTTCAGAAACGCAAAACAGTCATTTCAGAAACCCGAAATAATCATTTCAGAAACCCGAAATAATTATTTCAGAAAGGTGAAACGCCACCTAATTTAGCATGTTATGGACTGATTTCACCGGTTTGAAATAACCATTTCAAGAGTCCGAAATGAGGTTGGTTCAGCGCTTCATCCCCCTGACAGCAAACAAACAAAATATCACTAATCAATTCAGAAGGGATTTTATACAAGTCTTCCTGTTTATGAACGATAGGATTATCACCCCATTCTACCTTAGTTTTTGGTGGTAAGCGTTGAGCAGTTTGTAAATGTTTCCCATTCCTAATCTTCCCACAACCCCTATTACATAATGGTCTGGGTTTCCATGTTTCAAAGTTAGTCCAAAGCCTTGTTCGCTTCCTTCTCCAGCTTCAGTTGGTTGTAGCGTAGTCTATTCTATTCCTGTTTCTTTTCACGGTTTTTTAGGAAATACTGGTGATAGTAATCTTTCATTTTCTCTGGGTTTGCTTCAACATACGCTTTGTGGTTTTGTAGTCGCTTGTCTTTGTTCTCGTAGTAGTACGGTTTGTCTCTTTCTTTGTATGTCTCTATATGTGTTTCACGATGTTTCTTCTTTCGTTGATTGGTTTTGTCCTTGTCTCTTTCATAGTGTTCTTTGTCGCGTGCTTTATTGTATCAATATTGTTGAAATATCGCTGTTTGAACATGTCCTTTTTATCTATGTAATATTCTCGTTTGTTTCTTCCTGCCTTTCTTTCATTTAGTTCTGCCTGCTGTTCAGCTATTATATCACCTTCTCTTTTTCGTCGTTGTTGTAAGTTGTGATATTCAAAATTCTCCAAATGCTCAATGAAGAAATTGTCTATACCAAGTCTGTTCATTTCTTGATGTATCAGCATTTTCCCACAATGTTTAGCATCATGCCTATGCTTTGCCATCCGTTTGTGTAGTGTTTGTTTAGTGCTTCCAATGTATATTTTGTTGTTCAATGTGTTTTTGATGATATAGATTTGACCCTTGATGATTTCTGCTTCTATGTTTTCCATAGTCTTGATTATTATAAGATACAATGTATTCTTTAACTATATTTGGTAAAGATTATGGAGAAAATATTTCTAATAATTTCATATTATTAGAACTATTTATAGAATTATTTTTATGGAATAATGCCCATAAGGCAGTGAATTGAAAGCATCAATGTAAAACCTTTTATTTTCATAATTACTGAGTGATTGCTTGACTTGAGACATTGAAAAAAATTGATGGTTGCGACTACGAATACAATTGTATGTTATTTCATGCTTTTTGTTTTGAAGCAATGCTTCGTGGTAGTTTTGGTAAGTCAGTTCTTTCTTCACCTTGTGTTTCACTACACCTTTTGATTTCTTTTGTTCTTCTTCTTCACCGTGTATTGTAAAAGCATACGATTTAGGCTTTAACCCTATGAATTGTGTTATTGTTTGACTGTTGCACTCATCCTTGAAATAACCAAGTTTTTTCTTATTCGTTTTGTCATGGCAGGTGGATAATCGCTAAAGTCCATATATTGGTTTAATCCTTTGAAGTCCTTGTAGATGTCCTCAATGAATGTTAGAATTACATAACTGTCAGTATCAGTATAAACCAGTTCGATGTTTTCATGGTATTTCTTCTTAAGAACATCATAGTAGAACTGATACATATGTAATTTACAGATGTCAAGGATTGTCATTCCTAAGAAAATCGGTTTGTCCAGTTTCAGTTTCGCTTTAGTTTTTTCAACTCCCACCAGATTCTCATTTATAATAAACCTGTTTGTAAAGGTTGGATTATTAACACATTGTTCATATCTAACTTCATTATCTACTAATTCAAAATCCATATGATTACGCTTGTCTTCCATAGTTTTACCGTATACGCTATTGCTCATCAGCTTGTAGAGCGCTTTCTCAAAATCGCTTTTGGCTTCTTTCCTTTTATCAGTGTTGAAGTCAATCCACGGTTTCAACCATGCCCTCTGTTGAAATTTCATTATCCTATGGACTTTGGTCATTTTCAATCCCATTTTCAAGTAATACTGTAAAGTCTTGATATGAACCACATATTTTTCTTTATCCTTTAGGTTTAATATTAACTTACTTGTTTTCTCGTCCTTCGGGGTTTTTTCATCATAGTATATTTTGAAGACTTGCTTTTGATAATCGGAAAGCATAATCACATTTACATTCATTATTTCAGGCGCTAGTGGATAGTCGGAGTGGAAGTCGTGCAATGTTTCGGGATATTCCAAATCAACTTCCATACTATAACCGAACTCATCGTTTTCAGTCCATTTTGCAACACTGGGCGTTTTCTTTGCCCACTTGATATGTTTTAGCTAAACCATACAAGTTATTAGCATCCAAGTAACTAATATAATTTGATGGCTTGTTCTCATCATATGCTTCCCCCATATACTTATTATTTGCCACTGCGAATTTATGACTTACCTGACACATTCCTCCTCTCATTCCCTTTTCAACCATCTCAAACATTTCTTGGTCATGCAATTGTTCTATTTCAACACCAGTTTTTAGAAGCATCGCGTCCCAAGCGAAATTTGGTAACGTATAATAATGAGCGGGGTCTAAACCGTAGTATTCCATACACAAGTCTCGAAAGTTTTCAAATACACCGGTCAGTAGTAAAACATCAGTTCTTAAATACAGGTCGTGATACTCCCCGAGTGTTGAGAAAATCATCAAAGTAGTCATAGGGATATATACCCTTATCAGTCAATAAATCCAAATCTTCATCGGTTTTAACATACGGGCTTCTAACGCTGTATCTGAAATTGTTCTTCCAATTCTCACGCTTTTTATCATCCTCATATTTACTCAACTTCACCAACTTATCCAACGAAGACGATAAGAAACTGAAACTGTCCTTGAAACAAAGATTTTTAAAACCAAAGGTTATAAACTTTTCGCTGTTCTGAGCGATACATTCTATTTTAGAATTCTTGTTCAGTTCGTGAGCCTTGTTGATGATTAAGTGGGCATCATAGTTTTTAAGGTTATGAAGAAACACTGGGATTTTATAATATCTCATACTAAAACCAAGATTACAATCATCGTGGGCGCATCCTCTGTAAGCTCCAGTAAAGTGACAATGGTCTCGAACCTTCTTGTCCTCAGGTTTAAAATCATTTCCACAGATAAAGCAAGTAGTAGCATTTTCAACAAAATCTTCCTTGTCCTTTTCAGTCATGATTATCTCTTTTACTTCCTTCATCCTACTAATAATATCTTCTCTGACTTCATTGATTTTTCAACAAACTTATCCATACAATCTTCACCTCTGTATAAGTAAGGCTCACTACTTCCTGTTATAGCATTGCTACATTAATCATAAAACCACACGGACGATGATTTTGATAAGATGTAGTTTTAGCTTTTGCCGATTTGCTTTTAACATCAATTGGCACAGTTAAACATTCAAAGTCGGCATAGATTACGAAGGGTGCCTTAAGTTTCTTGAAATGGTTTATTGAATTCTATTGTTTCACCTGCTTTTGGCATTTCTATTTTTTGACCCTCAACTGCTAGACATCCCTGTTCTTCGTGTTTCTTTAAAAGTTCTTCTGATTGAAAACCATGAGAGCAGGTTCTACAATGATACTTTTTAACTTTCTTTTTGTTAGTCTGACTACTCATTAACTTATCGTAATTTTTGATATAAGCGTAATGCGGTTTAACTTCATCAGTCAATTTAATCAAACCGATTTTGTGCTTCGCTTGTGGGTTGTTGCTTCTTTTGTATAATAAACTAGTTTTACTACTCGTATCGGGGTTTATGTAATAAACATTGACCGATATGTGTTTGTTCTGTTCTTCAAATAGTTCAATCTCATCATTACCTACTGGAAAGTCAATATTATCCCACTTGATGAAAGTATCATTAACATATTTCTTATAATGATACATGTCGCAGGGATGGTCTTTTTTGTACAACTCATAAAATCCACATTGAACGGAATATTTAAAACATAAGTCGTCATCATTGTTAATATTAATACAAGCCTTTTTGTTTGCCACCCAGTCGGGTAATGGAATGAATGATGAACCACGGGTAGGATTGTATCTATCATAACTGATGACTAACTTTTCAACTTGGACAAAAACCAAACCCGACTGAATGTCTTCGGCTATTTCAATTTGTGTCTCAATGTCGTGTCCAATGTTGTTTAAGACGCTGTTCAACTCATCGGGATTATGAATATTGTATCTTCTGCTTCTTAACCTCCTTTGGATAAGTTCGTTGGCGGGATTTTTGAATGATAAATCGGTTTCCACGATTATTTTCATGTTCGGGCTTCTGTTCAGGAATTCGGCCAGTCGTTGCTTCTGGTATTTTAA